ATTAAACAGACACGCCAAGAATTGTTACCTAAGCAAGCCTTGTCAGTGGAGGAAGAGAGAGGAAGAAGGGGAAGCACTGTTAGGGAGGGAGAAAAAGGAGGACCAGAAGCCGTTCCCCCCCAAAAAAGAAAGAAGAACCTGCTGAACAAGTGTCATTCTTATAAATAATGTAAAAAAAAAAATCAAGAGTAGGGTGACCACTTGATTAAGAAGCAAAGATTGAAGAACATTTTCATACTGATTCTGCACCTTAGCTGAGGAACTTGCTTAAGTAAGGAGATTTCTGTCCACTGTAGGAAGCCTTTGATTCTTCACTCAAGATGATGATGTATCTGTGGGTATGTAGTATTTATTTCATAGTGACTCTTATGCATTTCTCTGTGTGCCTTGTGTGTGCGCGCTGTATATATGCACTGCTGGCCATAATGCATGATGCGTATTACAGTGCAGAGCAATATTTTGTGCAGTAGCTGATATCCTGACCTATGCATCAAAAATCACTTTATTGGTATATCACATGCCTTTTCCTCTGTGAGCTGTTATGTTTGGCATTCTATTGAATATCATTTGTGGTTAACTGGTACACGGTTACTGATCAGTTGTAAATCAAGGGTCTAAATTTATGCAGTTTGTGTTATGTAGAAACTTGCATTATATATTTTACTGTAGGAAAAACATAGTTTACTTATGGTAGTTTTAGTGCACTTTAATTTTCATCTTCTGTGGAATATTTAACTACACGGTGCTTCTTTTGGGCATTTCAGTGTGGAAATTAAAGTTTAGTCACAAATTCAGTATTTCTTTGCTGCTGTAAAATCTCTGACTTGGATCTACAGTATAAGTTCAATTCAAAGAATCAAACACCCTGAAGTACAGAGACTTTGCTGTTAAATGTTTTTAACTTTACTTACTAAAATGATAAATTTGTATGAAAGATAAAAAAGTAATACTAATTAGCGGTAGAGATGCATCCTGTTTGAGCCATGTGTTAATTAACTGGCCAAGAGTTCATAAAATTGACTTCACATGTTTCTTATCTAATTTCTAAGCTTTTGTAATTTTAAGTTTCGTTTTAAACGTTTTGTTATTGGAGAGATGGCACTATGCACTAATTGACTGATAACCCTAGGGTAAAATTACAGAAAATGTCTTGTTCTGTGAATTTCTGAGAACAGAATTGGTCTTCTGGAGTCCTATTATGTTCTTTCACTTCAGTCATCTCTGTCATTTTTAGTTGAGAACACTTTGCTTAAGCTAATTGGTCATGCATTAAACTCAGACTGCCCAGATGACTCCGTTTCAGGGATGGTTCTCAGAAGATAAAGGCTAATCACTTTCAGCAAATCTGAATGAGTCCATTAGCTCAGTTTAAGATTTGGATAAGTTGTGGATACAAAAATCTTGCATCGTAGACAAAATTGCAATGAAATTCCTTAATAATGTACCTCTATGTTTTACCTGTATGTTTGTGTATCTTTCACTGAAGTTGGATGTTAAATGTAATTTGCTGACATTTTGATATTGTGAAATTATTGATAAGACAAAACTGCAGTGAAGATCTCTGATTATATTCGTAGTAGTGCATTTAGAAACTGATTTTCCAGTGTCTTTGCTCTGTACATTAATGCAGTATCCACACAAGGCTCATTCTGAAATCCTCCTGCTCTCCATTACATTGAGTTGTTGGCTGTTACCTGTAAATCGTTGTTAGTAATACTCAGGGAATTATGTACAATAGATGCATTAAGGCTGTCATATTTCATTTAAATTGCGTAATCTGGCAGGTCAGTTTTGTCAGTACAGTTTTGTTTTAATATTTTATTGAAAACAAAGACAACATACACATATTTTAAATATGAAACATTAAATAATTTCAACTCAATCTGACAACAAAGGCATGTTTCAAATGAAAAAAGGGAAATATAAGTAACATCAATAAATGTACTCGTGTCTAATGTTTTAAGAATTAAATGTGATTCTTACTGCAATATACAGTAACATTGTGCATGTTAGTAGTGTTGGAATTTCAGGTTTATGTACGTAGCAAGTATTTTGATTTTCTGTGGTCTTGTTCAGTTGTGAAATGAAAATTATTTGCCAAAATAAACACTTACTCATTCTTATATAAATTATGGGGTATCAGGCTAAATGGGAAGGAGGTAGATGCTGCCTTTGATTAATGTGACTTTTAAAATGCAGCAGACTGCTCATGCTTGTATTTCTTTCAAATATATGGTACAGAGAAACATATAACCATATCGACCATCAATTGTTAGTTACCTTTATGTTTTTCACTTTTGAATTTGCATTTAAAAATAAAATATATAACATTTATTGACTTTTTAAATCAATACTGCTTTGCATGAAGAAGTGCACATCAACCAAAAGGATTAGGTACTGCACTTAGGTATTAATTTACAACATACGTTATCTTTAAATACACTATATTGCTCTTTTTGTGCATTTGCCATCACCTGTGTGTTTAAGGGCTGCTGTTTAAATTCTCGTGTAGCCATTAAGCAGTGGAGCCTTCATAATAATCGTTTTTTGTGCTGCTTTGCACTCCCTGAATGGCTCCAAATTCAACAACAACCTAGATTGCAGAATCAGGTCTGCCTTTTAATGAAGTCATGTAATTAAGCAACATTATTTTTTAATTGCGTATAGATTCATTTAAACAGAGGCTGTGGCAGCCAGACGGCAGCCATTGATTGTATGGTTTGGTCTAGACTGTTCTGTTTCAAACAACAACTGATGATGCCTTTTGTTTATATACACCCTCTTGAGCTGTCTCCTAAGTGATGGAATTTTCATTGATGTTAGCGACTATCTTTCAGGTCCTACTGATGAATGGTCAATTGCATAAAAAGTGTGTATGCATGTACGGCCGGCATTGATCTGAACTGTAGTCGAGTATTGAGTTGGAATGTTATTGTGTCTCAAGTTCTATTAATTGTCGCAGTGTCATTAATATTTTCAGCATATTTAGACTCCATACTTTTCTCTTGGAGTAAAGCATGTAGCATTTTCAAAATTGGGAAGCTGTTAATATAGCTGGCTTTATAGAACTTCCAGATAAATGCCTTATGGTAATTCTGTGAAAAGGCATCAATTCAAGAAGAATTCGGCACAATTAAACATATTTTTGTTGTTGTTGTTACTTTGTTCCCTCCTGTATATGATCAATTGCTTGCCGAAACTTGAAGTAAACCTTTGATGTAAAACTAAATTGGCCCAGCAGTCACACACTGACAGTAAGCCTGTTCAATCTGTCAATATAATTAATATAATCTGATCTTAGTACGAGTTCAGAAATGAATTGTTAATAAACTGCTTATGCTATGCTTGAATTTCCCTTCTCTGGAGTCCACGCAGCTGGTCTGTTCTGACAGACTCCTTAAAGAGTGCTGTAGTGGGCATCGTGTTGACCCATGCCATTGTTCTGTTTGCCGTTTAAGTCTAAGTAAAAATAAATAAAATAAAATTGAAAATTTGGCAGAAAAGGGAGTTTGTGGAGGGTAATGATATCTGTTAAGATTCTGCTGTTGACATTAGCTAGACTGGTTAGAGGTTTATAACAAATCATGTGTGTGTGTGTGTGTCTGAGAGAGAGAGAGAGAGAGAGATTTCAGTTTTCACTCAGAATTGGGGCAACTAGGAAAACTAGAACAGAGTACATCCCCTAAATAATACATATTTGCCAAAACTTCCTGCATTGTCAGGGGAGTCACATGTGGCACTTTCTGTTTTTTTGCTGTCTGAGGGTCAGCCAGTGTCCAAGACAGTACAATCACAATAATAATGGTTAAAATAAAAAAGTTTTAATTATGTTGTGGGTCTCTTGCGTATCTAAAACAAGCCATCTGTCCTCAAATGCTGTTGTATTGAAAATTTCTTTGAAAGATTTTACGTAATTTTTTTCATTCCCAGAACGCCAGAACAGCATTTATATACAAAGCATTTTCCTAGATTTAATTAGATTTATTTTTAATATACAGAAGGTGTGATAAAAAGTTACAATTAAATCTTCAAAGGTACTTTACAAAATAAGTAAGATATCAACATAAAATATTACATTATATCTGTTTCTTAATTGAACGAATTCGCATATGATTACAATGCGCAAATTATATAGACTTTAAAGAGCGAACCAGTCCCCACAAATCTTTGGGTGTCTGCATTATTATAGAAACTAGAGGAAAAAAATCTTACCTGTTGTAAGTCTTAAAATACTACATCCCATCTGGGATTTCGCCTGTGCTTCGTGGGAGGGGCTCCGGAGTAGTCTGATGTGAGCTGGGTAAATGGTCGCTCCAAATGGATGAGGTACACCACAATACACTATGATGGGTATTCATTTATCTCACTGAAAAATGGAACAGATGTTTACCATCCAGCATGGCCAAGAATAGTGATCTTTAAAAAAAAAATGTGTATGAAATTGACCAATGAATCATTTGATTTAAGTGGTATAGTAAACACACTATGTTTGATACAAGCTTTCGAGATTTTTTTTTAAGCGGTTGGTCCTTGGATGACCACTTATGTTGAATCAGTGCACCTGGTAGTATTGTATGCAGTTATTCTCGTCCTCCTGTACAGAGCCTTGCATAGCTTATGGAAATTAATATTATGCTGCTAATTTTCAGTACGTTATTGAGTTAAGTAGTAGTGATCATTTTATCAAGTGATGCAACTTTAGACACTGACAATTGTTTATATAGTGCATGTTTTAATTACTTCTGAAAAAAGCATGAACATGTTTTGTTAGTCTTGTTTTTACACATTGTCTCTTCTCATACATACAGTATAAAATATACATTTTTCCATATTTATAAATGAAGTTGAAGAAGTGTGAGCAAATGGCTATTTGTGATGAAGGTTTGAATTCTCACTTGACACATTACGGGAAGCTGCTGACTTGATTGTCACTCCTTAATCGTTTTGTGCTTCTGTCATCGCTCTAACATGCCGATGCAAGCATTTCATCACCATGCTGATGAATTCACATATTCAGATAATTTATCTTCTCGTGTTGTTTTACATTGTACTATCTGGTATTTGGTAACTGCATCACATACAAACCCCTGTAAACGGGACGGCATAGAAGAATTTTACATGCTTATGGTTAACACCCCTCCCCCCCCTGAAACATCTAGATGAACATGAAAAATTCAGAATAATAATTATTATTTGATTTTTCCACTAAAATGAGTTCTTTTCATATTTTATTTCTTCTGATGTGCTTTTTGTATATTTTATTAGAGATTTCATTGGTCAGTTACACACATGTAAGTATTTGAATTAAAGAAATGAGTCCATTAACATTGGTTTTCAT